ACTCAAGTATCATCTTTGAAATTCACTGCTGGCCTGGTAACTGTACCATCTTAGGCATTGGAAGGAGCTTGAGAAGACCCTGACTATGATGCTTTTTGTAGCTTGTAGAGCAGTAATGAGCTAGGTCTCTGCTCTCTTTCCTCAGAGCAGCAGATCTGGAATGTCCAAAGTTTATTAATGTCTGTAATGCAGGGCCTCATAGCCACAATGGCTCAACTTAAACTTGGGCTTTTTTGTACTTATAGTGATCTCCACAATTTATAGTATATTCTCATGTTTCCATCCTCATGACAGGTAGTGGCAAAGGTCCTGAGAATTCAGAGATGTATAGTAGTGTGCCTCAGTGAAAAAAGGCTTCCCAAACAACTCGTGAACTCCTGTGTATTATAAAGATCAGTGCAAAATAATTTCTGAACATACTTAATTATTTAGGTGGCACCCTTGCTTACAGACTAGGTTTGTGAGAACAGCCATAGAGTTTTGAAGTATGAGAAAAATGAAGCAAATATGAAAGTGTTATCAAGGATGGGGTAAAAATTTGTGAAGGACAAATTCCAGAAAGGGCTACCTGTTAAATTCTCATCGAAAAATGCTGAAATTTAGGCATTTGCATGGATATATACACGTGATATCCTTCTGAATGGAAAGGAATAGGTGTGTCATCCCTGAATTAAGAGCTGATTTAGTGACTTGGTTGTTCATAGACTGCTTAAATATGGAAATGCTCTGCAATGGAATTTACTAAGTGGTGTAAAGGAGAAGCTCTAAACAGAAATTTTGCAGTGATATCAATAGTTAGGCATGAAGGGTTTTCTACTGAGGATGGAACAGAGGAGTGTGGAAAGGATGTGCAAGTGACTGACAGGATTCAGGAAGCCTATAGCAGGACATACAATAGAGAAGGTCTTCAGTGAAATTCAGGTAGTTCTTAGAGTAAGCGTGAAGTTAAAGTTGGGTTCTGATTGCTTCATTGAGGTGATCAAAACTAGCTCTGGCAACAATCAGTATTTCACATCCCTGTTAACCCATGAATTTTGTGTTCCATACTTAAGATCTAATATGGATTATCTCTAATTATGCCCCAGTGTTATGCAGGTAAAATTTGGATTCTTTTTGTACCAAGGATCAAACTCATGACCTATGCTTTCCAGGCAGGCGTTCATGCCACTGAGCTAAATACCCAACTATGAAAGTGTTTTCTTTGTTGTATGGAAGAGATCCACATTGTATCTCAGAAAGTGTTGGATATTGTTGGAATTTTTCCATATTGTATGGCTATAATTTTTAAAAAACAAACCAAAGTTGTCTTATGCATTCTCTCTTCAAGTTTCACTTTGTCTGTGGGGTGTCTCAGTCAGGGTTTCTCTATTTTAGACAGCTCTGTAACTTAGGATAACCCCCAATTCAAGGAAGAAATCCTTCACCGGCCTCCCAAGATATATTCCTTATATCTGAATTGAAAGTGATTGCTTGGTGACAGTGAGCTATAAATTACAGCTTGGGCCTGGTTCCATTTTATATACTTATTTTTTAAAAACAGCATTTTCCACTAACATTTGAGGTATTATTTGTGTACCATATTGAATGTTATTTATGTTTTGTTCTATGAAACGAAATTCATGTTTCAAAATGCTGCTGAAGTATATTAAGAACAAAGTACTTACTAGCCTAAATGAGATTTGAAGAGACATTATCTGTAGCCTTTCAAAGTGCTTGATGAGATTTGTTTTTCTTTTTTTAAATTTTGAAAGTGATAAAATACAACAGAACAAGGCAGAATAAGGCCAACTAAGATCATATAGTGAAATTGGTACACAATTTCACAACAGATTACTGGGATAACAGTAATAGGTATTACAGTATATTTTATTATCTCTATAATAGTTGATCTTTCAAACATGTATATCAAAATGAGATGAAATACAGAGTAGTACTTATCAAAACAGAAAATTGAATAGAGCAATACAATTAATCAAAATAGAGCAAAACAGTAATAAACATATTTGCCTTCAAAGAGATAGTAGAAGGAAGTCCCCTGTATTTGTTATGGTCTGCTTCCCAGGAGACACTCAGATTTCTGGTTCCCATTTGCTAAATTGGGAAGTGGAATGTTTGATTCTAGGCCTTGCATCGGTAGGTTCACTATTGCTTATTAGGGAGACAGGCTGGTTGTTTGGTTTCACAGCGTCCTAAGTTCCCACATGGCGCGGACCTCAGGAGCTGCTGCTGGTTCTCCCCCTGGAAGTGCCGCATTCTGCCAGACCGTCACCGCTTATCATGGAGAAGTGGTGCTTGCTTGCCTTCCAAGTGTCCTAAATTCCAGCATGGCATGGATCTCAGGAGCTGCTGCTGGTTTGCCCCCTGGGAAGGCCACAGTCTGCCACATCATCACCACTTACCAGGGAAGGGAGGTGCTTGTTTGGCTTCCCATTTGATTGATAGGATATTTATCTGCTTATGTGCTTTGTGGATGCTGGTCCAATAGGCTTTTCACTGTGAGCTCTGCTTTAGAGACAGTACACAGGGAACATTGCAGTGACTGAGCACAAGCAGATGACATGATACTCTACATAGAAGACCCCCTAAACTCCATTGAAAGACTCTTAGATACAATAAATAAATTCAGTAATGTGGCTGGATACAAAATCAATGCTCAGAAATCAATAGCATTCCTATACATGAACAACAAAATCACAGAGAGGGAAATAAGAGAAACTACACTCTTCATATTAGGAAGCAAAAAAATGGAATATTTAGGAATTACTCTTACAAAAGAAGTGAAAGATTTATACAGTGAAAATTATAATACACTGAAAAAAGAAATTGAAGATGATCTCAGAAAATGGAAAGGTATCCCTTGCTCATGGATAGGAAGAACAAACATTGTGAAAATGGCCATCCTCCCAAAACTGTTATACAGATTCAATGCAATCCCAATAAAAATACCATCAACATACCTTATAGATCTAGAGAAATCACTCCTAAATTTCTTTTGGAATCAGAAGAGACCTAGAATAGCAAAGGCAATTCTAATCAGCAAAGAGCAGGAGGCATCACAATTCCTGATTTGAAGTTATACTACAAAGCAACAGTAGTAAAATCAACATGGTATTGGAATCAAAACAGAGCTGAAGATCAATGGAATAGATTAGAAGATACAACCACAACTACAAACACACTCAACCACCTTATCTTTGATAAAGGAGCAAATCAGGTTCACTGGAATAACGACAGTCTCTTTAATAAATGGTGCTAGAAAAACTGGCTCTCCATTTGCCAAAAACTAAAGCTAGACCCATGTCTATCACCATGTACTAAATTAAAATCTAAATGGGTCAAAGATCTGAATATTAAAACAGAAACACTAAATCTATTGGAAGACAAATTGGGTAGAAACCTTGAAGACATAAAAGTAGGTAGAGAATTCATGAACAGGAATCAAACCACATGGGAAGTACTTCCCAGAATCAATAGCTGGGACCACTTCTTATTAAAAAGTTTCTGCATGTCAAAAGAAATCTCCAGCATGGTAAAATGAAAACCCACAAACTGGGAATCTCTCTCTCAGATGGTGAACTCTCTCTCAGACAAGGGATTCTTGTCTAAAACATATAAAGAATTAAAAAAACTCAGACCCCCAAAATTCAAAGATCCAATCCAAAAATGGGCATCTGAGATGAATACGCAATTCTCAGATGAAGAAATGCAAATGGCAAGTAAATACATGAAAAATTGTTCATCATCATTAGTCATTAGAGAAATGCAAATTAAAACCACACTGAGATACCATCTCACTCCTGAAAGAATGGCCAGGATCAAGAAAACCAACAACAACAAGTGCTGGAGAGGCTGTGGGGAAAAGGAACTCTCCTACACAGTTGGTGGGAGTGTAGATTGGTGCAGCCTTTGTGGAGGTCAGTCTGGAGATTTCTCAAAAAGCTGGGATTGGAAGTCCCATTTATTCCAGCTATTCCACTTCTAGGCATATTTCTAGAAGAACTGAACGCATCATACCACAGTGATATATGTGCACCTATGTTTATAGCAGCACAATTTGTAATCTCCAGATCTTGGAAACAACCCAAGTATCCATCAACTGAAGAATGGATAAAAAAGTGGTGGTATTTCTATGCAATGGAGTATTATTCAGCTATAAAGAAGGATCACATTGAGATATTTATCAATAAATGGGCACAGCTTGAGACCATACTCATAAGTGAAATAAATCAATCTCACATGTGTGAATACCGAATAGTTTCCCTAATGTAAATAATGATTCAAATATATAAAAATATGTGGTAATCATGATTCCCCATTATGTGGCCTTGAAGCCTTATAAAGTTTTCACTTATTAATTGGAAAGGCTTTATTCTGGGCTTCTTGATATGGAAATACTTGAAGCTATAGTATATGAAGTTTTATTCAAATATTTCAAGGAAAAAGACAGACACTGTGGTAACTACTATTAAGTCGGGTTATTTGGTGGTGAACCACTAGGTTGCTGAAACAGTCATGCTTTGACCTGTATTGTTATATTGTTATGTCCTGTTTATCTCAATCTCTGCCTTATTCATTAAAAAATTATTTCGTTAAAAAAATCAGTGCTCCTATTTCAACGTTACATTAGCAGTGAGTTGCAATCTATCATCAAATTTGCTGTCTTCAAAAATGTGTATATTCACAAAATTAATGACCAAGACCTGGATTTAAATTTGATGAAATCAGTCTTTCAGCTGTTTTGTTTGGTTGTACTGTTTAGTTTTGTTTTGTTTTATTGAGACAAGCTTTCTGTATGTATATCAGCTGGATTTGAACATCCTATGGAGCCTAGAATTGCCCTGAACTCACTGAAACCATCCTGCCTCAGCATTTTGAGTGCTGGCATTATAGATATATACCACCACACTTTGCTTTTGATTCAGATTTGTAGGAGAGAATTTAAGATATCCCAAACCTGGTGTCTCAAACTTCATGTGAGAAATATATGTATGATCCTTTAGGAGGTGGTGACGTTTGAGGATGTGGTTGTGAACTTCAGCATTGAGGAGTGGACTTTGCTGAGTCCATCCCAAAAGAACCTCTACAGAGATGTGATGGGAGAAACCTTTAGGAACATGACTGCAATAGGTAAGGACAAAATACTTTTGTCACTCATGCTGTCAGAATGTTGTATGTCACTCATCAGTGCTGTTTCATTAAAAACAACGTGAAAATATTTTTTAAAATAGCTCAGACCTGGACACATTATATCATAACTCTAAACAAAATCTATTAATTTGTATGTATTATTCTAATGAGCGTTGGTATTTCTATGTCTACAATTCAGGAGGACTTGGGGATATCCAGGAAGCTGAAAAAGAATGCCAAATTTACTGGAGATACTTAAGGTAATTTGCACTCATAAGGAGAAGTAATGTTCCTGAGTAATTAGTGCGTCAGCAGAAAAATGACCACCAAACAAATGAGGCACCATTCAATTTATTGTCAGTAATACTCTCCGAAGACATATAAGTTAGGGTATGTATAATGAGTGAATTAAATCATGAAAATGTATGACATTGCATGTAGATGTGTACCAAAGGCATACACTTTGAGTTATGACATTCGCCCTTCAGTTTTTCTACTGATATATACATATGAATATGACACATTCATTATCTAAAAATTGCTAAGATTGCAATAGTATTTGAAATAAAATGGAGTTCTTGTGTTTCCAAGCCATGCTCTAAGAATCAACAATTCTGACTAAAATTCTTAGAAGGCTGGTGGAATGTTAAGGGCACTCATTCTGAATATCAGTGTGCAGTTGTCTCTAGAAATTGATCCCCTCATACTTGTCCTGGATATATTTTTAAAAATTCAAAATCTGCATAAAATACTGATACATGCTTGCTCATATACAAAGCAGATAAAATAATAATAGATCAGGCCTTGAAGAAGCTTAACTATTTATGACTGGATTTGTGGAGAAGGAAAATGTTAATAGACTCTCTGTGATTGTGCATTCTTGTTAATCCAGCACACTAGGAATCAGATTTTGCAGAATGGCAAATTCAAGTTCAAACTTCACAGCTTAATGATCAGCGAAAATGTCTTAAAACAGATTTAAAAAGCTATAGATTTTATGCTAATACCTGTTGTTCATTCCCAGCATTGAAAAGAAAAAAAATGAGTTACATAATGTGAAAAAAATAAATAATATAATGTCATTTGCCATAAGAAATAGGTGGATCTTTCTCCCATCAATTCAGTGAAATAGCTCAGCTATAAAACCTAAAGGGTCACAGGGTTTCTTTTACATGAGAAACCAAAATATAAATTGTGGAATGAAATGAAAGAGAGTTAATAGAGAAAAGTAAGACTGACCGTATGGAAAAGGGAACTACAGGTTAAGGACAGACAGGAGATTGTGATGGGGAAACATATCAGAATGATCTGTATGTGATACACATATGTACCCATGCCCAAAGTGAAGCTAAAGATTCTGCATTTCAAAAGGTACCAAATTTTAAGATTTCCAAATGTGTACCATTCTTTTGGGAATGGTTGTTTTCAACATGTCTTACAAGGGCATTCTGTTACTTCATGTTCAGAATTTCTTAGCAGGCATTAAAAACAGAATTTGACATTAATGCAGTCATTAAACTCAGACCCATTTCACTGTGAATTTTTCTTTTTTTATTTAATGTAAGGAAAGACTAAAAAAAAACAAAATAAGTAGAAATAATACCACTTTCAAAGTGAAAATAAACAGTAAGAAATCTAAAGACAGGGATTACATATGCTGCTCATAGAAATACTTAATGAAATACAAAAGTGAAACTTATGAAGTGAGGATAAACAGTGAGACTGCAAAGAGTTTTGTTCAACTCTGCCATAAATACTTAGTAATATGGTTATCAATCCTATATCTGATTTTTTTTTACAGAAATGACAAGCTAGGGAAATCTTATGGACATACATCTTGGAATCAGTGTAAAGAAGTATCCCCTTGTAATGCAGAAGGTAATGTGAATGTGAAAGAAACAGAAACACACCACAATGTTCAGATCCATGAAAACTATTGCAGTGGAGAGAAATCCTATGTATGTCAGCAATGTGGAAAAGGTTTCACCAAATCTGGACATTGTAAGCAACATGAAAGATTTCACACTGGAGAGAAACCATATGTATGTAAGCAATGTGGGAAAGCTTTTAACACACGGGCCGGTTGTAAAAAACATGAAAGGCTTCACACTGGAGAGAAACCATATGTATGTAAGCAATGTGGGAAAGCTTTTAACACACGGGGAGTTTTTAAGAAACATGAAAGAATTCACACTGGAGAGAAACCCTATATATGTAAGCAATGTGGGAAAGCTTTTACCCAACAAGGAAATTGTAAGCAACATGAAAGAATTCACACTGGAGAGAAACCATATGTATGTGAGCAATGTGGGAAAGCTTTTAACACACGGGCATATTGTAAGGTTCATGAAAGAATTCACACTGGAATGAAACCATATGTATGTAAGCAATGTGGGAAAGCTTTTAACACACGGGCAAATTGTAAAATACATGAAAGAATTCACACTGGAGAGAAACCCTATGTATGTAAGCAATGTGGGAAAGCTTTTAACGCATGGGGAGATTTTAAGAAACATGAAAGAATTCACACTGGACAGAAACCCTATGTATGTAAGCAATGTGGGAAAGCTTTTACCCGACATGAAAATTGTAAGCAACATGAAAGAATTCACACTGGAGAGAAACCCTATATATGTAAGCAATGTGGGAAAGCTTTTACCCAACAAAGACATTGTAAGCAACATGAAAGTTCACACTCAAGATAGAACCAGTGCATATAAGCATCATGAGAATTTTTTGAGCACAAGTCCATATTGCATAATGCATGAAAAACTTCACCCTGGGCAGAAAACTTATATATGTAAGAAATGTGGGAAACGTTTCAGCAGAAATACTCATTGTGCAATACATGAAAAAATTTACAGTGTTGAGAAACCCTGTTTATGTGAAGAATGTGGGAAAGCTTTCACCACACATGGATTTTGTAAAATACATCAATGACTCCACTGTGGTGAGAAACCCTATGTATATATCAATGTGGCAAAGCTTTTGCCACATACAGTCATTGCAAAACACGTGAAAGGATTCACACTGGGAAGAACCACTGGCTACGTAAGCAACTGGAGACACTTTCAGCAGCCAGATTATAAGTGAAATATGTGAAGAAACTCACACAAGAGATAAATCCTATGTGTTATGGGAATACTCTCAGCTCACATGATCATTGTTACATATCTGAAAGAGCTCACTGGATCCTATGTGTATTAACAGTGTGAGAAATACAGCAATCCATGTTTGTTGTTAAATACATAGAAAAAGCAGCACACTTCAGACAGTTTAGATCTAAGTTTACTTTAAAAATTCCAAGTAGACCTGAAGAAATAATCAATACAGAAGTTTGATGTCAATATTTCTTCACAAATTTTCCAGAAATGACAAATCTGAGGTGGAGCTCTACTCAAGTACATATTTTGTATGGTTTTCAGTTAATCACTTATACCTCTTTAGATTTTTTAAAGTGTCTTTGTGCTTCAACATGGAATCTTGTAATTAAACATGGTAAACTGAAATGGGCTTTTCACTTTCAAGTATGGACAGTGTCTATGTACTTAATATTTTGTCTTTAAACCTTAATTTTTATATTTTTGGTGAATTATTTTTATTTAAAGAAAAAAACCAAAAAGTGTAGAAATAATACAGAAGTTCTGAAAAACAAACACTAAGAAATCACTAGTTGATTAGTTACATATTGTCATCTTAGAAGTAATTGTTCAAGGTACAAAATTAAAGCATACAAATAATTACACTGCAAACAGTTCCACTCAGTGATCCAAAAAAATTATTAATATGCTTATCTGTTCTACAAACTTGTTTTTTAATCTTAAAGACAGTAAGATTAAACATGACAAAACAGAACAGTTCATAAGGAAACAAGTTAAGGAAACACAGGTTTCAAAACAAGTCCACTGAGATGTTCATTTTCTATCTTACTGTCTCTAGTTTTCTTCAAAATAGTTGTTCCCATCTTCACATGCATTGAATATATACTGAACATTATAAAACTAATCAAATAATTACAGGATGATGCAGACATTTTTGATCTTCAAGACTGATTTTGGGGAAGTTGATAATGATTACCATAATGTGTCTCATTCTCTTCGTAGTAGACGTCTTTATTTTTATGTATGCTGAAATTGAACATAAGAGACTAAACTAATATCACTCTGAACAGTGAATAATAGTATCCTGAGAAGGAGAAAGGCGAGGAATTGCCTAAAAAAGAAGGCAGAGGACATTGTTAAAAGTGTATCAGGATTTAAAAGCTACAGTAGTTCTGTTGCTCTGTTTAGTTTGATTATACTTTCTTCTGGTCTGTCTACTCATATTAGATTTGAGGGTATAGAGGGCACAGAGAGATAACATCATGGCAGGTTATACCATGATGGTAACTGTCCTTAATTTCCTATTAACTAAAAATGAAACCCTGTATTACTTACATTGTCTTACTATGACTGATCTTATTTGAAGCTGGTTTGTTTGAATGTTATTTGGCCTTGACTGATTTTATTCACATTTGGTATGCTTGCTGGTATCAAGTCCAAGAGAAGAGGCAACTACTCTGAAGATGATAAGATGTGAAAGATATATATTGGGGGGCTGGGGATTTAGCTCCGTGGCTTAAGCCCCTGCCTGGCAAGTGTGAGGTCATCAGTTTGATCCCCAGTTCCACAAAATAAATAAATAAAAGATATAAATTCCAGGTTTATTTTTTTTATTTAAGGAGAAAAAAAATCACATAAAAACACAAAGCAGTAAAAAGGTACAAATAATACAGAATGTAAAGAAAAAAATACAGTAAGAAATCACTCGTTAACAGGTTACATATTGTCTTCTTAGAAATAGTTGTCCAAATTATAAAATTAAAGCATATAAAGTGAACATTCCTCCAGTGAGACTGCAGACAGTTCTGTTCAATGATCCAACAAAAGCTCAGTAATATGGTTTTCCTTCCTACACACTCAAACAGGCACTTATATCCCTTAGACCACTTTCCTTTCCTCTCCTCTTCACAATAACAATTACACTTTTGGGTTTTTTTTACTCCCATAGTTCTTATTACTTTTTTTGAAGGGAATAAAACCTCAAGTGAGTTTACAAAACAGAGTTGGTTAGAACATAAGGATGGGCATAGTACTTGATGCAAAAATAGAATATCAGGTGATCAACAATGGTTACCACTGTGCCTCCAGCTATTTTTAAAAAGAGTTCCCTATATCATCAGGTATAATAGAATTGATCAAAACAGTACAGAACAAGACCAATAAAATCTACACTGGAGACGTTACAGAATTTCAAAAGAAGATAACAGTCAAACCATAATGGGCAACATAGTAAATCTTATTGCCTACAAAGTGGTTGCCTATACCCTCAAACTTGATACTATTAAAACAAAATAGAATATAGTAAAATCAGGCAGAATAAGATGGGGAGAGCAATAGTGGGGTTAAAATCAGGTTAATAGGAAAACAAAAAAAGTTACTATAATATATCCCACTATTTTTTAATTTAGTTTTCGTTTAATTGAAAAAAAATAGAATAATTATTTTTAAAAAGTGTGGAGATTGAGATAAAAGAGACATTGTGATAGAACAACACAGGTCAGAACTGAACAATTAAAGCATCATTTTGTTTCACCACCAGGTAATCTAACATAATAGTAGTCACCATAGTGCCTCTTTCCTTGATTTGAGTATAACTTCATATACTATAGAATCAATCACATCAAGACAGTGTGAAGCCATTCAAGAGAATGAAAGAATTACAGGGTATTTAGAATCAGTTAACAGAAAATGAACAATGATTTCTGTATTATCTCTTTGCCTGTAAAAATTTTATTTATACTATCACAGTAAAATATATTAAGATACAACATGTTAAAACGAGTGGAAACATGTACAACTTGATGGGAGTTCCAAAGAAGATGATATTAAATCAGCACTAGCTTTTATGATGTGTTATTTTCTTCAGAATAGCTATTTGTACTATCACCGATACTAAAATTGAAAAACCCAGGGTAAAACCATTGCACTTAATGAGTGAAAACATTATATGGATTCAAACCAATATGATTGGGTATCACAATTACCACATACTTCTATGTATTATCATTTCTTATACTAGGGAATATATTTGGTATTTTTACATATGAGTTTGATTTATTTCACTTATGAGTATGGTCTCAGTCTGCGACCATTTATTTATATGTCAATGTGACCATTCTTTATAGCTGAGTAGTACTCCATTGTATAAAAACACCATAAATTTTTTATCCATTCCTCAGTTGATGGACACTTAGGTTGTTTCCAAGATCTGGCTATTACAAACTGTGCTGCTATAAATATGGGTGCAAATATATCACTGTGGAATGATGGTTTCAGTTCTGTGAATATGCCTAGAAATAGAATAGCTGGGTCAAAATGTGCTTCCAGTCCCAGCTTTCTGAGAGATCTCCAGACTGAACTCCACAATGGTTGTACCAGTCTACACTCCCACCAGCAGTGCAGGAGAGTTCCTTTGTCCCAACAGCATCTCCAACATTTGTTGGTGGTGGTTTTCTTGATCTTGGTCATTCTTTCAGGAGTGAGACAAAATCTCAGTGTGGTTTTAATTTGTATTTCTCTAATGACCATTGATGGTGAACATTTTTTCATGTATTTATTTTTCATTGGTATTTCTTCATCTCAAAATTGTTTATTCATCTCAGATGCTCATTTTTGGATTGTATCTTTGAATTTTGGTAGTCTCATTTTTAAAAATTCTTTATATGTTTTAGACAGAAGTCCTCTGTCTGAGGGGCAGTTCACTAAGATTTTTTCCCAGTTTGTTGGTTTTCTTTTTACTATACTGGAGATTTATTTCGATGTGCAGAAACTTTTTAA